CCTGCATCCCCCTACTCCATGACCACAGACTCAGTTCACCCCAGACTCTTTATGAGGGAGAATTTAATTCCTTAGTTGATCAAAATCTTGTTTATTAGATTTAAAAGTTTATTAGGTGCTTCAGAGAGAGGTCAAATTAGTGCTGGCATGATAGACAACAAGGGCTTGAGTTCAGTCTGAAACCAGCATGAAAAGCCAGGCTTAGTAGTACATACTTGTAATCCTAGTAGCAGGAGGAAGAGACAGGAGGATCTAGTATAAGCTACTGGCAAGGTCCCAGTGAGTGACCCTACCTCAAAAGTGTGGATGTGGATGGAACCTGAGGCTGACCCCCTCCCACATGCACATATATCCACACATAAAATTCATTGGGAGCCTTGGTTATGCTCTGTCCTCTTCCTCCTTCTCTTTTTTGCAATAGGTTGTTTTTTGGTTTTTGGTTTTTCCAGGCAAGGTTTCTCTGTGTAACAGCTCTGGCTTTCCTGGAACTCACTTTGTAGACCAGACTGGCTTGAATTCACAGAGATCCTCCTACCTCTGCCTCCCAAGCACTGGGATTAAAGGTGTGCACCACATTGCCTGGCTGCAATAGGTTCTTATTGTACAGCCTAGACTGTACTGGAATTCACTGTAATCTTCCTGCTTCAGCCTCCCAAGTGCTAGGATAACAGGCTCCCACCACTATGACTCGAATTTGCTCTCTATAGGTTTTTGTTTTATTAGTTTTTACATTTACATTTATTAGTTTTCATATTTTACATTGTGTGTGTGTGTGTGTGTGTGTATGTATGTTTGTGGGTGCATGTGCCACAACATGCATGCAGAGGTCAGAGGGCAACTTGTGGGTGTTGTTGGTTCTCTCTTTCCACATGTGGGTTCTAAGGATTGAGCTCAGGTTAGAGTACTGATAGCTCTTCCAGAGGACCTGGGTTCAATTTCCAGCACCCACATGGCAGCTCACAACAGTCTGGGACCTGTTTGACAAATTGATGGGAAATGCCTTTATTCACTGAACTGTCTCACTGGCCCTAGTTTTGTTCTTCTTTTTTTTTTTAATATATTTTTATTTCTTTATTTTTATGTGCATTAGTGGTTTAGACAGTACTCTAAACCACTGAGCCATCTCTCCAGCCTCCCTAGTTTTGTTCTTAATGAGACAGGGTCTTAAGTAATAACTCAGTCTGTTCTTGGACTTACTGTATAGTCTTGACCTCCTAATCCTTCTGCCTCTGTCTTCTGAGTGCTCTGAAACAAGTGTGTACCACCATGGCTGGCTTTAGTTTTTGCACATTGTTTTTTCTTTCTGCTTTGAACCAAATTAAAAAATTTCTTCCTCTTTATGTTGCTGTATATTTTCTCTATTTCTGTGGGTAATAACAGAAAAAAGTCTCCTTGTCTCTGAAGCTTCTTAGATGTTTCACCCATAACTCTTGGATTTTATGACTAATATACTCTTGTCTCAGCGGAGGTACTTTGTGCCATCTGAATCAGAAGCAGGTGTGGCTACCACAGCTGCTCTGTCTGCACCTCATGTTTATGACACTGAACAGGGAGCTGTCCCATGGCAATTAACAAGTGCTCCCCGCTGTATCTGCAGCTGGGAATAACTGTCAATAGGACAAACAGTGTGTTGGAGGCCTCTTGCCCAGGTGTGGGGTTGGGCCGGTGGGATGTATGCTTTGGTAGCCCAGCTGACAGTTGTGTCTTGCCCAGAAGACCCTGCGGTGCGTGGCCGTCTGACTGAGTGCTTGGAGACCATCCTGAACAAGGCCCAGGAGCCACCCAAGTCTAAGAAGGTCCAACACTCAAATGCCAAGAATGCTGTTCTGTTTGAGGCCATCAGCCTGATCATCCATCATGACAGGTGAGCCACTGTCAGCAACACATCACTCTCAGAGATAGCAGGTGGAGGCTGGCACTTGGTGTCTGTTGTTTGTACAGATGCTGACAGGTAGCTTCCTTCTAGGCTTGGCCTGTGTCAGGTAAGACCACTGACTCCTCATGCTTCTCCAGCTGATGTTCCGTCTCTGGCCACAGGACGTCCCCTCTAGATACTTTGGCCATAGCATCTTCCCTAGAGCTGCTGTGTCCCTGTCACCAAGAGGCTTCTCTGAAAGGAAGAGGTACCTGTATGCTGTTAGCTTTGCTGCTCAGGAAAGCACACTCCAGTATTCCTGGGTCTCCTGAATCCTGACTCCCAGCCCCTGTAGAGGACCATGGCTGGGTCACAGGCAGTGATGGTCTTACATAGCACAGGCTTGCTTCTGGTCTTTTATGCTCAACCCTGGTGGCATGCCCTCGTGTATGCTGGTGGCACTGTGCTCTGGATCTGTGCCCGAGGCATGAGGCTCAGGAGCAGGGCTGTAGAAGACAGCAACTCTAGCCTGGTTGGAACCAGCTGTTTTTACTAAATCATTTAGATAAATGTTACTGGGACAGAAACAGTTTGTCAAACTGGAGCAGGGTTGAGAATGAACTGTTAAAAACAATGTGAAGGCGATCTTATTTGTTCTTTTTGTTTGTTTGTTTTCTGTTTTTTCAAGACAGGGTTTCTCTGTGTATTTGGTGCCTGTTTTGAATCTTGCTCTGTAGACCAGGCTGGCCTCAAACTCACAGAGATCTGCCTGGCTCTGCCTCCCAAGTGCTGGGATTAAAGGCGTGTGCCACCACTGTCCAGCCCTTATTTAAGAAACATGTGTAAGGAGGAATTGTGACAATTTGTCCTGAGTTCCCCATTGGCCCTCACCACTTACTGTTTGCCCTAGCCTGGTCCAATTTTCTGCACAGCCCTGCTCTAGGCTGGCTGCTGTTCAGGTCACTTTTCTGGGCACAACTTGAAGACAGTGAAGCCTTGGTCTACCAGAGCTTTCTGGAGTCCACACTGGAGTAGGGGAAATCCTGCAGACTCACTAGAAAGTCACCCCTCTTCATTGTAACCCCTCTTTACAACCCTTCATTGTACTCCTTCCTTACAGCACCCCTTCCTCACTCTCACTTCTCACTGCACTTCTACTACCTCCTTACTGTGCCTCCTCCCTGCTGCATTTCCTCTTTACTGTGCCCCTCTCCACTGCATCTTACTGTGCCCCTCCCCACTGCATCTCCTCCTTACTGTGCCCCTCCCCACTCCATCTCCTTACTGTGCTCCTCCCCACTGCATCTCCTTACTGTGCCCCTCC